CTCTTTAACGGTCCTTAGGCCGTAGCTCCTTAAGTGTTGGAGCGTTGCCTTAAGAGTATCACCAGAAAGTCGGTGTGGCTCGGCGCGTAGGTGGCTCTCCTGGCTCCCTACCTTAGGGATAATGCTTGACTTGCAAGCTAGGTATACCACAATCTTGTGAGTAGGGTCGTAGACAAGCATTACGCGCTCGTAGCTTATTCGAGAGGTCTGTAGAGGCGGGCGAGGCAAAGTGCACTCCTACTTGATGCACTCTTACTAGAGCGCGCTAAGTCAGCCGCGCCCGGGCCAATGGCGGGGCCGCGGTGCTACACTCTCGCTTGGAGAGCGCCCGCGCATAGGGGGTAGGCTTGGAATAGGAGCTCATTATAGAGTAGGGCATAGGCTTGTTAATATTTAGAAACCACTAAGTCGGAGATCTGCGACATCTGCAACTCCACCCCGCGATATTCCACCGTCTGCCCGTCCAAGAGCCACCGAGCTTGGTGTTTTGCAATAGTAGCCTTTCCAACTTTAAACAAGTATAGCTACTACTGTAGAATGTGGCCAAATAGCGTCTCGGCTAGCTATTGGAAGAACTTCTTACAGATCTTAGCGAGAAAGACAGGGATTTGATCTTCGTCGTCTTGCTCCTAGAAACAAGCATAGTCAAAGAGCACTAGCTGGGCAGTCCAAGTCAGAGCTAATAGGTGGCTATTGAAATTCCCCGGCTCCTCCTATAATCCTCGGCCCTTCCCGCGGACTTTCTTGCTAAGTATAGCGCAGAAACTCAAGACGGGTGATTTGAATAGCACGCTGCCAATAGTCTAGTAGATTAGCGCCAAGTACAATCGCCGGATGGTATGCTTGAGAGCTAGCTCCGCCTCTTCTTCATCCTCTAGAGCCAAGGCCTCTATGATCTCGTCTATAGCTTGGATCTGCTAGGCAATTGGCTAGATGACATCTTTGAGAATAGTTGAATTTTTGCACTTTCGAATAGCCTAGCGAATTATTGCTTTGTAAATAATACATTAAAGATTATATATATTTTCTAATAACTCTACAAGTCTATACTTAAGAACGACAGCGTTTGAATGTAGGCCCTTTCTCATAGTCTGATCTATTACTTAATATACTGTCTAATTCGTTTTTATAATGTGCTAGCTTCCTCGTTTGTCGGCGTACAAACTCTCTTTTTGGTATCTCTTGCAGATGGACGTTGATTTTATTGCGGTTCGTTATCTGGTTTTGAATTGGCAACTCACCGAGGACTTTGTGCTTGAGTGGCTCCTGGTGATTGACTAAGGATTTGGTGGGCTATCTAAGGTCGGATGTCTGTAGAACTGTAGGTTGTATCTAAGCCAACCTCTGAAAGCCAGAAAACCCTAGATATATATGCTACTCTCTGCTAATCTGCCGGTACTCTGCTCGTGCAGAAGCAACGTGACCAGGTGCTTCTTTAATCCCTCTTACATAGATCATACTAGCTGTATTAGCCGCATGTACAGCCTGTGCGTCATTCTAGGTTCCGGGAGCGTCTGCTCCATAGTCCTTCCGAAACTTAGCTTGCCGTAGATGCCGGCGAGAGATAGTAATCGCTGTATGCCGCCAAAGAAGGATATTTGCATCGGTATTAAGATGTTGCTTAAACTGCTGTACGAGGACGTTCGTCAAGCGACTACTTAGCTACAGCTCGCTGTAAGTTCCTTTCTTAATCGCCTAAAGGAAGGTTGGGGCACTAGGGCTTTCATTGAGAGCAAGCATACACAGCTACTCGCAGAATGGCTAGACGAGCCAGACGTAGTAGACTAAGAGCTCACTTATTGCCTCGGGCAGATACTAGTGGATGATTTTGGTTGACCCCGAGACGCTGTATCCCTTGTGGTAGAAGGTAACAAAGCCAACAAGTCCATTCTCGATAAATATATTCCGCTGTAGCCCGTGGAGAGTATTACGCAGCTATAAGCTAAGAAGCTTAGTTCCTCGTGTAGGTTGGCCCCCAAGAATATGGATAAGGAGAAGCAATAGCTTAAGGAAGGTGTTGGCTTGCTTTAGGTATTGCTTAGCAGTCTTACGCCGCCACACGACCTTCGCGCCCTTGATCAAGAACTCTTACTATAGCTAAGTCTCATCGAGCATACGATTAAGCAGCCATCGATCTTGTCCTTGGAGGTGGTCATTCCGCGGGTTGTCTAGGAAGCACTAGCTGGGCTTGCTATTAGCCGGATTGTCCTTAAGCCGGAAAAGATTAACTAGTGGAACAACCTCATCTCGCTCTTCGTCTGGATGTACACGTAGCAGCTCCTCTAAGAGCGACTGTGCAACGGCTGTCTGGGTCGCCAGGAACTTCTTTAAGTCGGTCATCCCTAGTTCTAGGCCTTTGTAGCTAAGGTGTTCGCCGTCGTCGGTCCAAGAGATATATCCTAGAGAGGTAGTGATCTCATTGATCTGCTTCCCAAAACTGCGTAGCTTTTGTGCCTAGTTTATAGGGGAGTGTGTGCCATATACTATAAAGCGCTCTTGTATAACATTCAATATATCGGCTATATGTGGAACCTCCCCTCGATCTATGGCAAGCACTGCCCGTTGAATAACGAGGAGCTAGGCTATCTTAATAAAGGCAAAGAGATATGGGGTATAATGTAGAGAATCGCTAAATGTAGCATTCTAATCCGCCGATAATCCAAGAACTACTATAAAAACGACGATAATATTGTCGTAAACTATATCGAATAAAGCATAGTCTAATAACGAGATGTATAATTGGATCGTAGTATAATTGAGATTTTGCCGGAGCTATGCTACCACTAGACTAGTGCTTTACTGTTCCTATGCAAGCTCGGCCGCAGCTTGCATCACTCGATCGAGGGCTGTCACCTGAGCATCGGTAAGACGATAAGAGAGCTTAGGGCCTTGGTTCCGCTAGACGCGCCGATAAACGAAGCTTAGTAGTTGCTTCTATACCTTCTTGTATGTAGTGTAAGTGCCTTCTTAAAGCTTGTGCACCAATGAGAAGTTAGTGGTCTTATGGGTGAAGAAGCTACTAACACGCTGCTAATCGAAGATGTTGATTCGGTTAGTCCGGAGGGATTCGCGGGCTTGCTCGATAAGACGGTCAAAGGATTCAAGTACGAGAACGAGGTAATTATCTGGCTAATCGGGGTCGAATAGGGGATGAGGCGATGGGAGATTAAGGAGCCGTGCAATACGACCCAAGTTATAGCCCCGAAAGTACCGCTCCTATTGCGTTAAGTCAAGCCATGGAGAGACTTTAGTCTTATGGCGCGAGGTGATGTTGGGCTTAGGCGCTTAGAGCTTTTGAGCCAGAGTCTGCTCTACTTGTTCTCGGAGGCCGAGGGGTGGTCTCTCCAGGGCGTCCGCAAGTTGAGCCGGTGCCGGTGCCGGTGCTAGATCAGAGCCGATAGGCTTACCGCTATTAACGAGGAAGTAGCGGGTGTAGCCCTTTATGTGAAAGGTCTGGCAAACGACAGGAGAGTAAGCAGTAGTGCTGAGTGGAAGGGACGATGTGGATGGGCGGTCTGCAAAGCCTTTACTTTTACTCCATTAATGGGCCTCCCTTAGATGGCTAAGTAGAAGCCGTTGGTCTCGGATTACGTATGGCTAATTAAGAGGGCACAGCTTGCAGCAGTAAGCGTTGTCGTAGATCCGTAGGTGGGGGATTAGGGGCGTGTGAGTGGGTACGTAGAGCTGCTTCACTTCTCGGGGAGGGAGTAGAGAGTCCGGGGTGAAGAGACGAGCGTATTCCTGGACTTTACCGAGTGGGATAGCAGCCTTGTGATAGTCGTACAAGTGAGAAGCAACCGCTGTAGAGTGAATCGCATATCTGCAGCTCGTACAGATCAAGACGTTGTAAGTTGGATTGAAAGAGAGAAGATCCATTATATTATTGTAATAAAGGGAGGGTTCTAAGGCTTTTGCGGGGGTTGGAAAGACAGACGGCTTAAAGGTGGTTTATGTTATCTTTTAGCAGGTATCCGATTCGAATTCGAGCACATCGAGCAAGTTGAAATAGAGAATACCAAGACGCGTCCCAGGTCTGACGCGTCTTAGCTTCCTCGCGGGGGGCGCGCGCGGTGGTCCGTGCAACCCCACTCCCTTCTTCGGGCCTAGCGGGGGTTCCGGCCAAGCACAGCGGGCGCATATACCCTTGATATGGGTGCCAAATGCTGATCACACATTTGCTAGTGGGATTTCAACTTTCAGTTTAACGTACACTAGCACAATTTCTGAGGAGATGGTTGCGAATGGAAATGTAGTGATGAGCCGCAACAATAGCGACGAGTGGGCCGTCTGTCTCGCTTGTGCTATTTTGGATGCAGGAGGTTTGGATGTGCCAAGCAGCTGTGATGCTTGTTTTGATGAATATTGTTATGCGGGGTAGCAGTGTATCGAGATAGAATAGGGTTAATCGTTAATATTAATGTTGAACATTCTTCGCTATCGAAGACTTCAATCATATGCTCGAATGAAGTTCTCTTGCAGTCGAAGGTAAACTTTAACCTCAGCCAAATGTCAAGAGAAGAACAAAGATATCAAACATGCGAAAATTCGTCACATGAGAGTCATCCCATTCTACTCATAGAGCTATTCCACTCCATTCCTGAGCACCTATTCTGGATGCAAATTTGTTTGCTGTTGAATTCCCGTATCGGAGCTGTCCAGCAGCAAGAGTCCTTGAAGTCCAGTGGAGCCATTGTTGCAAAGTGGCGATGTTTGCCATAGAATTGATGGAGACATGCTTGCCTTTTAGTTGTAATATCCGTACCATACGATCAGGAGAAGTCTCTGCTTCGAATTGATGTATACTGGGGGGTCTATTTCAAAGTTCTTGATTCAAAGGGCGCATCTCATAATCCATTTCTCACAACAAAACTTCCACATCTTCCGGCCACATCAGTGACTACCACACCAATCCAAAGCGCATGCAAATTTCGTCATACACAATAGTACTACCATTGTGAAAATTTTAAATATGAAGGAATACATACCTTCAGCTCCATCCATTAAAACAGTTTCGCCAGCATCTTGTCTTTCACACTAATCGGCGCAGCTTCTCGTTCGTTTCGGTAGTATTCTGTCAGAGCTTCAAAGAATTTAAGATTTGTACTCAAATCTACATCTTTGCTGTGATGTAATGGGGTGCGTTTAACGATCTTCCATGCAACGCCAATTCCTCCAGCAAGAGCAATCTAAAAGGCTGTCAGGTTTGATACTCGAGCACTCAAGTTAATTTACAATGCCATAATCGAAGATGAAAGTAGCGACTTTCCAGTTCCCTTTCAAAAAGACTGAGTAGCCTTGTAGCCTGGTACAGGATTTAGTTTCTCGTTCATTGACATAAATGTTAGACTAACCAGAGGAAGAGGAAGCTCCAGCCAAAGCCCCAATACCCTGCAAAAGGCTGAAAACGTGAAACACTAGGCAAAAAACCTGTCCTCTCGATTCCTTGTGCTTTCATAGCAGCATTAAAGCGAATCCATGTCATTGACATTACACTCCAATTACTATCAAGCATCAGAGCAAAACTAATCCATCGTCACGTAAGAACTCACAACATAGTGGCGGCAGTACAAAAGCTGTGAGCCGAATCAGCAAAAGTCACACATAGAAAGTCGATAGTATTACTTCAAGATCCAATTGAGCACCTGAGAATTGCTAGACCCGAGAGCCAAGTACGCGAGGCAAGATAATAGCATAACCATGATAACAGCGATATACGGTACACCCCTGAAGAAATCAGCAAAGATCTATAAGCGGTACGAAAGCATACTTCTTGTTCAGTCGACGAAAGATCTTAGGTGCCTGCCCCTCCAGCGCCAAGGCGTGCAGGCTTCGTGACGCATTGAAAGTATACGCGTTTCCAGCTGAAATGATGCTCGTCAAGAGAGCTGCCGTAACGATAGATGGCAAGACTGGAATTTGAAGGCGTTGCATTGAAATGACACTAGATTAGAATCAGCTGAAATCTATCCAATGGAACATTATACTTACTATGGAGAGGCTCCCGAGTAAGTCGAAGCTCCATTGTTGAGACTACAATTGTTAGCAAGACAGAGACTACGAAAGGACGCAAGTTATCACGTTTTATCGTTGTACGGAACCAAAATCTAACACCGAGTTAGCAAGAATCAGTTTCGAAGTACGACATATCTACTCCAACGCAAAGAGACCCTCCAATGAAGAAGACAATGAGCCGCGCAACAATCGTCTTGAAAGCCCGAGGTACTGTACGACGCGGGTCTTTGGCTTCACCAGCAATCACTGTTGAGATTAGAATCGCTTATATTTTCCGGCATTCCGAGACCGACTTGAGATGTATTCTGGCCCTCCCATACAAAAGCCGGCGACATTTACTGCATTGATAAAAGACTCTAAGCGAGTTGACGGACTCGTGCCTGCCCAAGGCCCAGGATCCCTCCAGTATCGGAAGCCATAACGACTAAACAGATTAGACACGAACGAATGTTGTAAGAGCACATACTCGTGTTCAGGATTGCCTCCTACCATAGTGACGAAGGTGTAAACAATCAAGCCAGTAGCCAAGAGCACTTTCCCCAAAGCCAACCAGACTAATGAAGAGTCAGTGAAGGTTATATTTGGGTGGGCCTCATATTTACATTCTGCTTCTCCAAAGAGATCGGCTCTATATACATTGATGGCTAAGAAGAAAAGCAATGCCACTGGACACATGTCAGATTGCATTCCTCGTGCAGATGAAGAACCGCATACCTGTGATCAAATGGCAGGTGATCGGCCATACCCCCAATACTCGACAAGTGTATTGAGGACAGTAGCCTCGAAGATGACATAGGACGTTTGTGCGAACTCTTTTGTTAGTAAGGTATAACAACGCAATAATACAACCTACGAAATGATTCCAACCAACTGCTACACCAAGGGCGGGGTCAACCATGCGGGCCGCTAAACGAATGAATGATCCATCAAGAGGGAAAAGACCAACAGTTTCGGTTTCTACATCATCACTGAGTGCGAACAACCAAAAAATCGAAAGAACAACTTACGGCACTGTGCTATACAGACGACGACTGTAGTCCAGAAAAGGAAACCAATCAACAAGCAAAGTGGACCAGATAGGACGCCAGAGCCATTCCTACAAATAGGGCACTGTAGCAGCAAGATCAGCATCGTCTTCAACGAAACGCCGAAGCTCTTACGCTCCAATCGATCCAGCGATAGCAGTCAGTTGAATCTGTCTTGGGTTCAACTGGCGATTGTTCACAGCAGCTTCGATAGCTGCATCCAAATCTGTTCTCTGAAGATTAGGCACTTCCCCAGAAGTTGAGGATTCATAAGTCTTGGTTGTCTATGCGCCGATTTAGTCAAGTTGCCGTTCCCTGACAGGGTGATAAAACTCACCTCATTCACTTGTCCAGTCGCCGCTGAGTAAATCCGAGTCAACTCAACCTCTTTCTTTTCAGTCGTACGAGTAGGGTTGACGGAACGCTCCATTGCAGATATCTAATTTAACGAAAAAGAAGACACAGAAGAATGCAAGCTGTGCATACTTCCAACAGCGGTGCGAGCATCACTTCTCTCTTTCGGATGAGAACTTTCTCAAAGGTGGGTTGCTCCATGGACCAGAAGCGAGACGAAGCTCAAAGGTCTCCGTAAATCTGGGAATCTAGCCCCATCCTTACATGACTTGGGATCCCATGAAGAGATAGTTTCTGGAGAGATAGTCTATAGCATCAAGCGGAGAAGTCCGGAGATGTTATCTCAGAAGCACTTTTTGTTGGTAGATGGCTCCATGGATCGGAGCGCAGAGCCGATAGACCCACATGAAAGTGGCAGGTCAACCCCTTGGGATGCCAAATTCACCGGGTTGACCTGCCACTTCTGTCAAATGGCAATCTGACGCTGGATTTGAGCCTTGGATTCAAGATAAAGCATTTCAGAGATACAGTTTCTTCATCGAAACAGCGACGACTGTACTTTAACACTTTGCTTTCCATCTATTTCACGACCACTCTCCGTAGTTACCGAAAATATCAGAAAATGGCGCCATCACTGGTAACCATCGAAGCTTCTGAGCCGTTAGAAAAAATAGTCGACATCATTGCTCGAGATGGCGGAGTTATTGTTGCCAACTTTCTCTCCTCCGAGCTCTTGAAGGAGTCAATGGCTGCAAGTGAGCGCGCCGGACACTCATTAAACCAAGTAGGTGACTGATCAAATAGTCGAGCCTCACCTCGCTGGACGTAAAATGTACAATTCTAGTGCAACCCATGAGGAGCTTGGTGACGGCTTCTTTCCGGAGGGTTCGCAAAGAGTTTACGTGCGTGTGTTTCTAGCAAACATCTTCGTCTGTTGACAGACCATCAAGGGACTGTTAGCCAAGATGCCAAACCAACTAGTCAAGATAATGCGCCTACCATTATGGCAAGGTGTTATGGAACGTTTCTTGAAGTAAGTCGTAGCCATTATTGCCTTGACGCGGATGATGGAAGCTGAAATGATCTCAGTGACGAGTACTTCTCATACACTGGGGACAAATTGTTGTCACAAAAAAGCGGCTATATGCTTGCATCTACTGCGGCTCTCCGTCTACTTCCAGGCGCGAAGCCTCAACCATTGCATAGGGTAACATTGAAGATGTCTGCTTCTAGGTGCTTCAGCATTGATTGTTACCCAGGACCAAATAGCTTACCTTATTCGCCCGGAACCAAGCAATCCCCTATTTACACCTATGGTCGGAGTCCTGATTGCTGGGTCTAAGTGTACATACAAAAACGGTGTATGCACCGCACCGTGTCTGGAATATTTGAATTGACTTTCTACTTCCAGGCAACAGCAGTAATTCCGGGAAGTCACTTGTGGGGACCTGAGCGAGCACCAAAGCTCGAGGAATGCGCATATGCAGAAATGGAACCCGGTTCAGCGCTTATTACACTCGGATGTGAGTGTACCAAGATAGATGAGTACCAGCAGCTAAACCCAGACAGCAACTTATCACGGTGCTGGTGAAAACAAATGCGAGAGGACGGATCTTGATGCAAAAAGGACTTTGATTGCAGTATTTGGGTAAATGATGCCTGCGTGCGAATGGTGACCTCTTGCTAAATCCATCAGCCAACGAGACTACTACCGTGCAGATCAAGATGAGGATCTCTCAACCCCAATCGAGATTGCTCGGAAGCTCCCTGAGGACATTCTCAAATTAGCTGGATACTGTAAGATATCCCGGAAACGTGAAAGATACAGGTGAGCTAATTATCTCCGATTAGACAAAGCGGTCGGCGGAGTTGGCTATGTGGAGGACCATCAGAATCCTTTCGAGTTTTTGAAAAGAGAGGATCCAGGGTTAGCCAAGTATGGCCCTGCTACTACTCAGGTGGCTCTTTGAGTTGTGGGCTGTGAAACTTGTGGACATAGACGTTATTGAGGACATCCCAATACAAAGGAATGATACAACCCAACCTTCACATGAAATATTGTTCGTCATGCACGGAGTAAAATAAGGACTGCTCTAGTATAATGAACCAAGAGCACAATTGCTCAACAGGAAAACTCCGCTGTTCCTAGCGCGCTCTCGTATTGTTGAAAACATCGAGTTCAGGTCCTTTCTTCGGGAAATAGATAGCACTGGCATCTATCCAGCAGAACAATGACAGAATATCGGGAATGCTCGTAACTCAATGCGGTATTGTGTGTGAGCTAAAAATTAGCTACTTCGGATGAGTGGAAATTTGAAGAGGTACTTGCTAGAGGCAGTTCGAGCCATATGCCGAGGTCTTTAATACAAGTTTTGCACAATCTAAAGCAATAAGAGTGGATAGTCTTTTGAAGAGCTGCAGGTGGGAGGGGAAGGCGCTACCACGTGATCGACGGCCGGAACCTAGGTACCTACCTACCTAGCTAAGCTAGATTGACTTTTTCATGTGATTCGAAGACGGTAATATTCGG